GTATGTATAAACCGAGCTTTGGCAAGTAAAATGTAGCCAATATTGACGGTAAAAATAGTAAGCATTGATAATGTCGCGACGCTGTTTATGCTTACTGCTCGACCTAATTAAAACACAACAGCATTGCCCCTGGTGGATGATTTTTGGCACAATTTTTCACATATCTACCAATTTTTATTCACATACCGATCATACTGTAAGGGCATTTGCAAAATGATGTACCTAACAGTGTATAATCGCAGGTATGTAGAATGCAAGAATGAATATGAGTTTGCATAATCTTACCAAGATCACAATGAGAAAACACTAAGCGGAGATCGCTCTTCTTTACACCAGAGGTAAGCTTAATTCGATGTGGTGAAATGGCGAAATGGTTCAAAAGCGCGCTATTCAGACACAGTAGCGGCGGAACACCTTCATTAAGGGGGGGCACTGCCGACATTTTCTTTCCATGCAATGCCCATAGAGCTAATGTTAAAATGCCAAAATCAAAGGGGGGCACGGTGCCCCGGTGCCCTCCCCGTTCCTCCGCCTATGTTCAGACAATTCGAAATCCATAGAAGTTTATAGGTGATTGAGGGACGACATTTTCCTCCGGCCATTGCTGCATGAAATCTAGAAGATACCTTGCAAGTTACGGGCTGGTCTCCCCTGTCCCTGCTCCAAATTTGGACGAACCTAGTGTGGGTGTGCAGACCATATCCGAATACACTCCTGGAAAACATAAAAGCTGGTTGCGTCAGCTTCCAGAAGATTGCAAAGCTAAGTGCATGTGCCAATGACGTTGTAACTGTATAATTTGAGGCAGTTCGGTCCACTTGTGACCAGTGAGCCAGGCAGTGAAGCACGGGGTCATGTACCGCCCGAGGATAATGGTTCCAAGGTCCATTGTCGCTCAGTCGTGTACTCTGCACATTTAGGCCACATACGGCCTGCCACAACCCATGGTGATGAGCTGTTCCTACATACAAGTTCCGAAGCTGGAGTTGAAACTGAAGCCTGAACCAACTTTGTTTTTATAGGTATGCATATAGGCTGGCTTCAAGCGCAATTATGGTCAGAGATATGTACTTGCAAACACACAGCTAAATCAACATTATTTGCCAGAAAGAGAACAAAACAGAGACTGGGAACAGATACACAGATCCTGACAGAGAGGCGGGCTTCCCCACAAAGAGACAGGCAAGGAGAAAACAGAGCCGAAGGACGCGGGTAGGGGCTGAGTTCGAGCACAGAGAACTCCGGCGAGAGAGAGAGAGAGAGAGAGAGAGAGAGAGAGAGAGAGAGAGAGAGAGAGAGAGAGAGAGAGAGAGAGAGAGAGAGAGAGAGAGAGAGAGAGAGAGAGAGAGAGAGAGACAGACAGACAGACAGACAGAAGTGTCGGCCGTCTGACGCTGGTGGCGCGACAAAAACGTCGCCAATCAGCCCCGGTCGAGCGGGCACAGAGATGGCCGTGTCACAGGGCTGTCCGCTGACGGCGCTGACCCAGTGAGCTATATTCCAGTGGCGCACGTCTCAGGGACGAATGTCGCGCCAGGGTGCAGTTGTTTGCACCGTATCAGTCAAGGTGTGTGAACATCAGTGCATGAGCCAGTGAACAGTCAGCGTAAGAAGGGAATGTTATGGGATATATTGGAATTTAGGAGCTTTATTTTATAAAAAATGATATGGTTACGTCATTGCTGTTTCTGCTTGGCTGTCTGATAAAAGTTACGGAAATGTGATAGTATCGATGAGGAAGAACTCAAAGGATTACATCAGGTACATAAATGTTACTTGCCATAAATAGATAGAATCTATAATCAAGTCGAGTTGCATGCAGACTAGGTAGTAGGATCTGGAATTTTGTATCTGGAATTTGGAACTACCCAAAACATATTCGTAGCGCACTGTGAACAGCCATGCTTGAAACTCTTCACTATTCTTACGATGTTTCAAATTGAGGATAACTTTTGGGTGGACACCGCACTGAAAAGTTAACATCCTCGAAACTCAATTACATACATACATGTGAGACATAGCGACTTGCGTTGTGACTAGAATAGGTGGATCCTATGGAAGCATGCGTAACACGAGCATGTCTCCCAGAGAATTGTGGACTGTGCATCAACCGATTGCTCGGTGCTTATTATATGAGTGTGCTGCTGTAAGCGTTGCTAGTTTCTCCTTCTACGAAGGTGATAATGTCAAATACTCTCGAATCCGTCATCAACGGAATCGTGAACGGACTGTTGTGAGGAAGAGCTTAACAAATATTTTTTCAGTGACATGATATGCGATATACATATAAGAAGTCAATCTCCACTTTCCTCTCTGCACTTCGACGCAGGGTCAACCAGCGCTGGTGGCCGAAAGCCTAAGAAATAACCGAAGGTTTGTTGTCAATAGGTAGTTAAAACACTATTCTTTAGAATTGTGTTTTTCTATTGAAAAACAAATCTGAGTTCCCTGACAATTTGGCAAAAGCTGCCTGAGATCAGTACAACTTGATGCTCTAGAAAACGGCTGCTCCAAAAATTCTGATTTTTTTCAGGATTTCTAGTGGGCCAGGTGACATTCGAGCTTTTCAGAACTTTCTTCGACACGAGCTAGCTTTTTCTTTGCTACACAACTTCTGAAGTGTTTGAACTTGTTGAGGCTGTCGACTTCAGATGTCTTCAAACTTTCTTGATTAAAATCACAAGGAGTTGTTGACTCTTCTCGCTAAATAATTTACCACACAATGCTAAGTCATCAGAAATCAACCTGTTCTGTATAATAATGTATACCTACATGTGGTCATCACATGACTTCATGATAACCGACACCGTGTTTTCGTCAGCGCTGACCTCAAATCACTTTACCAGGCGATGGTTACGCTGTCCAGACCGTGTTCTGTAAGAGATTGATTCTGCGAACCTTCTGAGAACAGCATTAATTACATAAAGCCCACGTTCCCACTGCCTCTCACGAACCTGATCGAGAATTCCAAAGAGTGCTGCCTCATTACATATGTAACAGAGGGAAGAAACGAACTCAAGGCAAGCACATCGCTAGTGGAAAAATGTTCAGCGTTCTTTGTCCGATGTCTCAGGTTTCCTTTTTAACATAAGCTCGTTTCTTTGACACATCATCTGTTTAACATAACTTTTTGTAATGCATACCATAATATTCCACAATGAAGGCACTCGGCTATTGCAGCTCCCGGCTGTCTATCCGGCCAACAGCTGGCAACTCTGACCATGCCAACTCTAAAAGCTCGATCAATGTGCAGCCGTTTAATGCTGTGATCCATGATGCAATGGTTTCGGACCGGGCCATGGGTGCAGCTGGGCCTACAATCGAACGGCGACCAACCGGGGCATGGATGGAGCATCCATCCCGGCCTCCAAGCTGGTGAGCAGACAGGCCAACCTGCCAGCCTTCATAACATAACAGCGTGATGTCCATAGGAGTCGCACACGCCCGTCAGGTAACACGCGGCGTTGTTAAGTGGCTCGTTCTTAACTGGGCCGCTCAGCCACATTCACTCATTACGTCAATTCCCACCTTGACCTTTGGCCCGTCGTTTGACATTAACTGCAAATTGGCGGCCGGACCACTGTGAAATATAAGACGATGCGTCTCGGCGGGGTCTTTGGTGGAGCGTTCGTTCCGTGGTCGCGGTCATAACAGCATCTCGTGTCCGGCAAATATCAGGTCACGAAAATAAACAGCCTGATGACATGGACATGGGGAGAGCAATGTGGCAAAACAGGGCAAAAGCAGATGATCCTAAATAGAGCAGCAAGCTTGCCTTAGATACAAATTGCGACACAGCCTAGACTTTGCTCTGTATGGGCTCCGTTCTTTGCCTCAATGTTACTACCCATCTTAGACACAAATGATGCCTTATACCTCAACAACTCCTAATGCGCAAATGACTATGATTCAGATATAGATGTTCTAGCGAACAAAAATTATGTGTTAATGACCATCATTAGACTTATAGCAAAGGCACGAATATAAAGTTATATGTACATTGTACATAAACGGCCTATAGGGCATATATGGGTTACAAGTTGTTCAGAGTAAGTTGTGCAGGAATTGGACTCTGAGTAATAAAAAAAAACGTTTTTTGTTTGCTGGGTTTTGTGTTTACTCTCAACATGATCTTGGACAGTCCATTTTATGTAAGTAATTAAATACAATTACGTGGCTTCGTAGGAACACCCTGCCTGAAAAAGAAAAAGAAACTAGTTGAAAATTCTTAATTCAGAGAGCTGCCACGGAGCTACTTTTGCCACGCCCCGATACACATTAACGGCACCGAAATGGGCATAATTGGCATCCCTATTTCCTAAGAACGTACCAGTTGCCTGACCCTATAAATAATTTTTATGCAAAATTTTGGTAAAGGAATGTAATGAAAACTAGTACTTTTATGGATAAATTATCCAGCTACGTATGCGATGCTAGTGTGTGACTTCCTGTCCAGTTACATTTTTAGATTCCCAAATAATTGAAGTTTTCCGTTGGATGCAAAATATACAGGAGTATCCCGCTATACAAAACTAACATTGCGATCCCATTCTGACCTGCATAAAATACAAATAGTCGTTAGTCTGGCAACTAAATCAAATAATGGAACACGCTCAAAGCGACCGTGACACTATAGTTAGTGTCACGGTCAAAAGCATTGTGCACGTTTTGGTGTGTTTACTCAGGAAGAACAGTGATGTTGAGAAGCCTTGTAGTCATAAGAACACAGTTCAGGTAGATATTTCATCCAACTTATATTAGAGCCACCTGTGACTGCCGGCGTCGCATAAGTCGGCCTAGTGACACCGTTTGACTGAAATCCGAGGATGATCGTGTGGGAGTGACTGATGGGTGGCGATGTTGGCGCGGCGGTGTCTGGGGGGCACGTGTCTGCCGCCGGACCGCCGTCACCCTTCCAGAGCCAGGTGGCACCGCCCGAAATAGGCGGCCAGTCTGCGAGCGGCCGGTGGACCGGCGCGGCGGGCGCCGCGGACACTCACCTCACCCCACCATCCTGCCAGCGGACCCGCGTCGTGCCGTCCAGCTCGGCGTGCCGGCTTCCACTCAGGCCCCGAGAGTCTCCAGTCTGGCCCCGCACGCCGTCTCGCGACACGCCGTCGGTTCAGCACTGCGCCAGAGCACTGGCGGCCCGTCGCTCGCGACGTGCCCCGCCTCCCGGCCCCGTCGCCAGGCGTCTCTGCTGTCGGCGCCTCCTCCGCCGCCGCCGCGCCGACCGGCCGCGGCCGTCGCAGCTGTCACCGCGTTTCGACCGAGCTCGACGCGTCGGATCGGCATCGGCGTGACGCCGTCGTCGTCTGACGTCATCGCTGACGACGTCTCGGAGAGCGCGCCGATCCGCCGCGGCAGCCCGCGAGCGTGATAAGAAACATCTGCCTCGGCTTGTTTAGGAACACCTGAGCGCCGCGCCGTCCGTGCTCGGAGCGGGTGGGCCGGCTGTGCCACCGCGTGGCGCGATGCTCGTCCCTGCTCGGGTCGGGGTTCGGACGATCCCGTCCCGGCTGACTGATCGGCTCAACACTGAGCCGCGGAGCCGCGCCGACGGCCGTTATTGAATTCGCGACAGGGCCCCGGCAGCGCGGCCTAATTTGCCTGGCGTCGGTGATCAATGAGGGTCGTTTGTATACGCTCATCGCTTCTCCTTGTCACCCCCAACTGCGACAACGTCCGACTTTCTCAGACGAATCGTTAATAGATTCGGATATAACAGAAACATGGCTCCCTGACCTTCAAAATGCAGCTTATTGAACGCGCTCTCCGGGCTATTGCACTGCAGGGCTCGAGCCCCATCAAAGGCGATCTATTCTCACTGGCCGCCACATTTCACGACAGGATTTAGGAAATCTGCCAAGAGTTAAAGTATTCTGTGAACCTGATTGGTTTAATTCCTTTGAAAAGAGTTATTGATCTGATGTTTCTCAATTACCCTAATCAACGGCAAATGGTTCATGGGATATAAATTAGTGCACGTAACGTGGAACAGCACGGAGCGTTGACAGCAGCATGTACTGAAAGGCATACGCGTTTGCATTACAACTTACAATGCGTCATGTTTTCAATTGACCTGACATAGCTGTCAGGTCTGTCAAGTGTCAACTCAGACCTGACAATGATCAAGCGAATAGCCAGGCTTCTGGAACCTCAGTTGCATTCTGGGAAATGAGATTGAAAGAGCCGTCGATTTGTTGGCGTCTTTGCTGCCCGTTTGCTCTGAACCTCGATGGACGTTCTTTATTGAGATGACCTTCGAGGCATGTTGGATGCATGTGACATGCGCTCTTGCGCTTTGCATTGTGCATTGCAACGCTGATGAGTCTCGTGACGGGAACGTTGGCCAACCCGCCGTCGTTGCGATAACTGCACGATGTTCGTATGGAAAATGAAAATAATCAGTCTTCTTTTACCTAATTTGGTAGCCCAAGGGATGACCCATTTGGGTCACCATGTGAGGTCATGTCAAGGCCGGAGATCAGACGGCGCGAATCATACCATTGGACGCCCGAGACAGTATACCGCTGAGGGACGATGGTCAGCCTGCATAAGTTGTGGCGCGGGCGGGTCGATCGCCCGGCTGGTCCTCTCGTATGGAGTGTTTGGGAGCCTTTTCAGCGCCGTGGGAATGGGGACAGCGGCGTCATGAGGCGCTACTAACAAAGACAGGCGGCTGCCATTGAGGAAAGTGAAACGGCGCGGCGGCATGAGGCCATGGGGGCTTCATACATTACAGGACACCCAATCCAAAATTACAGGACACCCAATCCAAAAATAGTAGGTCAAGTAGCACTTAGTGGAAACGGTTCAGTAAACGTTGAAGAAAGCCTGCATGGTGACTGGCCTTCGTTGATTGGATATTGTCCAGAGTGCTGTAACAGACCAAATACCAAACGTATTAATCGGTAATCCTCGCGCGCCAGGCGAGGGCCTTTTCCATAACACGGACGGCGAGGGGGGGTTGGTACGACCCCCCCTCGCGATTGGCTCCTAAATGGCACTTAGAAACGCCAAATTTACAGGGTAGGTGGGTCCATAGGAGATTTCGCCCCTGTGAAAGTTTGGTGACTCGAAGTCAATATTTAGGGGGTTTTGGGGGGTATGGGTGCAAAAGGTTTGCTAAAACATGTTAAAAGTTTTTCGCTTATAACTTTTTACCTAGCAAAGATGGAGCAAAAATAAAAGCACCAGTGAACTCAGGACGTCCGTGCGCATCGAATCATATACTTTGTTACCAATTTTAGTGAACCCTGGAATTCAGTTGCCGCTAAGCTAGTCCAGTTTTCCCCTGACCTTGTACCGGTTTTTGTGACCTGGTGACCTGACCTGAAAAGACTGGGACTTCAAATTTTCAGGAAAGGTGCGAAAATGTTGCCCCAGAGGTTATGCCAAATTTGGCGGCGCTACGCGCCGCCGTTTTTACGTTATTTGCGAAAAACCTTAGGCGGGTTGCATCAACCCCCCCTCGTCGGGCGAGGGTTAATCGGTATGCATTATCGAAGCGACATGTCCTGCACTTTCTTTGAACATTTGCTTCTCCACCTTAGGTCTGAAAGGCACTTATCGTAAAACATGAGTAGGATGGTTCTCTTTCCCAATTCCGACGGGCCATCGGACGTGAACGTTTGTAATTTACTCATGGCAACATCAATATGTTTTTCATCTAATATTTCTTCTAAAAGGTCAATTGTTTTCCAAGACGTGGCCTACCCAAAGTAACCTTGCGCTACCCTGCGGAGAAAACGTGTTTCACTGCCAATCCTGGGACCTTTCTCGGCAGTATTGATGCTAGCAACGTACTGAATATTTAACAGCTCCTCGCCTAAATTATGCGACCCAATCTCAGCAGCGACCTTGTCAGTCAGCGAAATATTCATGCAATTCGCGGTGCAGGCATCTGTCGCCGTCTGACGGACAATCGGTCAGCTAGAGCGTGCCGCTACTCAAACGGTAACCGCAGCATACATAGAGAAAGGTCGCAACCGTCAGTGGTTAGAGACTACTGTTGGTGGTCAAATATGTCGGTGGTTAGATAATACTATTTTCCGCTTCCCTTCGAGCTGCCAGCAAACATAGAGACAATTAGCTATGCTATGCGTAACCAATCTCAGCGCAAACCTCACAACCAAGTCCCTCCAGGAAAACACTGTAGCTGTACAAAAAGGGGCTATTGGTATATTCAGCCGAAATGAACACGACACAAACATACTAGAAGTATTCTTAGGTGTTCTTTTTATCTTGTAATATGAGTATCTATCTATTTTATCTCTTCTATTTAATCTATTTAATCTATTTTATCTTCTAATAGTCGACTACTCCATCTACGCTGGAGTACGAAAAACATCATCTCATACTAGAAGTATACATGTCTCAACCGAGACTGCCCTGCCAACGGGCCGCCACCCCTCCCCCCGCGCGGCGCAATGGTGTCCCCACCCAAACTAGAAACCCTGTCGTGTGTTTCCTCCCCCGGAAAAAGTCCTAACTAGAAAAAAAAACGGGGGACCTAGTTGGGGAAAAAACCACATTTTGTGGAAAAAACCCATCTTTATTTAAGAGTGTGGTGCGTGTAAAAAAGTCCCAAAAATGTTGGTGGGTGGGTGGGAAACGCAAAAACATTTCATAGCGAGAACACTGCTGACTTGCGTCAGACCGGGCGGCTTAGAACAGTGACCGCGCAAATACACTCAAACCCCGCGCCGTCACCGTCACGTGACACGAGTCGCTCCACCAATCAGAGGAGGCCGCCGCCTTAGCGGCCTTGCCGCCCGGGGGCGCAGGCGGCCGCCCGCCTGCCGCCGACTGCTCGCCGAGGCCGGCCCGGCTCCGGGGCCGCCCCAGAGAAGACGCTCGTAGTGTCGCGGAAAAACCGGTTATATCTTGTCATATATAACCGGGCGTATTTATAGTCACCGTGGATAGTAGGTACTAGTGATGTCAATCGGTTACCGAAAATTTCGGTTACCGAAAAGATACGCTGACCGATTCGGTTATCGGTCGGTCAGGCCCCCCAAAAATCGGACACTTTCGGTCACCCTGCCAGTGAAACCATTTTTAAAAAGAGAAAGTATTCCATTTTTGCCTATTGAAAATGAAATTTATTGGGATGTTAATGATACAGAGTTGCAAAATTTCCCCCAAAAGCTACAAGAGATGCCACATTGTGGCAACTTCAGTACCCATCCCACCCATCAGGCAGCAGCTACCCATTGTGCAACCATGCAACTACAAGCAGGCTGATTTTGACTCAGTTGGCCACACAAGTACACACAATTTTGAAACTCAATTCCAGTCTTAACTGTTAAAATATCACCTGTAATCAAAAAAGTATTGCCTACAAAAATCATTATACAGTCATCAAAAATGCAAGGACAAAAATAACTTGAATTACTGAAATGTGTTTCTGAAGACTGGACAGTTAGCACTTAGCACTTAGCAGTGATCACATTTACATTTCACAGGTGTTCTACTATTCCACATTCTCCTTAAATATTGCAGGTACCAACCAAATGTTTGAAATCTACATGACCACAACATAAAAACATGGAATCTTGATAAAAACTACAGAGGGCCATGTCCGCGCTTTCTGGAATCTTCCACATCATCTCCAAACACAAAGATTTCGAAACAGATGCGCCATAATAGAGACTTTAAACCAGCTGATTAAGTTGCTGCAAAAAAAAAGTTTTGGATTGTTACATGCTGCCTCGCGAATGATTTTATTGATGTAAATGATCCAACACGATATTGAATTCTAATGAAATCAACATTGTGAGTGTAATTCACTACAAGAAAATTAATTTCCCTTCAATAATTCAACCAAAAGGACATATAAATAAATATTTTGTCATCGTTTTACATCCTTTAGTTAGGGAGGAAAGGATCTTAAAAGGCAATCCTTGGTTCTATTATTTTGCGCCACTTTGTATTAATTTTGTCTGCATATTGTGTTTTCTTGTAAAGATAAGACAAAGTGCCAGTTTAATGAATTTTCATTTCATTTTTGGGACGAAATTCAGGCTCAGAGCTACCTAATACCTGCCTTTTCAGTTGGATTTTCAGTGTCAAATTCTTCGTAGAGTATCTCAGACCACATCTCAAGACTCAAGGCCAGTTTCTAAGCAGTGTTGATGTGTTTTGTGGTGTTTTGATTCTGCCTTTTCTCCTAGGGAATGTTGTCATGAACATACCTATTACCAACCATTAGACTTACTAATTGATCGTGCTTTTGCAACATGAATGAGTATTCTTCCTTACATAGA